ATGTATTTCCATAGCTAATTGAATATATACAAATTTCATATTTTCAATTAAACTAATTTCTTTAAGCAATAGTGTGATTTCGTGGATTTTTAAAAATTAGTGCGGGGAATGAATAATTATTAAATCGTGAAGTATGGATATCGGCTTAGAGCCTTTAATGTCAACTAGGTTTCCAAAAATCTCTGGAAAGTTTTCTTTGCTTTTATAGAAAATCATAAACTAATTTGTTTGTATACGAGAACATGATCAATTATGAAATTGCTTTCAATACTAAATAAAGGAACTTGGACCGGATTGTGAGATTTCAATGGACATTTTATGCGTCTCTGCTGTATTGTTCGGCGGTTCAAACTCTATAAAAACGTATTCAATACTGGTAGATATTTTGTGACAAACGTGGTGAAAGAATGTTCGAAAATTATTTGTTTTTTTCTAAAAGTAATTGTGCAATTGTACAAATGATAAGTGTTTGAGTTGGACTTACAAAAAATATTGACCACTGGCCACTTGTATAGGAAACTTATTCACCACACACAATTTGTTTAATTTATTTTCAAAAATTAATTATGCTTCATTATTTACACCATATGTTCCATTTTATAAAAAAAAATAGATATTTCATTAAATTTAATAGTTTTTACATTTTTAATATTTAGCAAAAACCTGCTATGACCTTTCATATATTTCGGCAGTAAATGGCTTAGAATTTTAAACTAATGTATTCGAATAATACTGAATTAAATCAACGAATTATAAACCCGTTATAACATATATATATTTGTAAATATAATAATATAAGTAAACAAATATATTTGTATATATGTATATAAAATGAATAGTAGAAGACACCAACCACAAATTCGAAATATATATGGAATATGATTTTAATATATTTACACATATAGATGCAGTTTTATGCACATCAAGTGTTATTTTTACAATTATGCGAGCTAACATATAAAAGCATATAACGTATTGATATTTTATTTATTTAGCGAATTTATCCTAACGACTTTCTAAACAACAAAAAACGAATACGCTATCAATTACATTTGTACTATTTATGTACATGTAAACGAACTGTAATTTAAAACATTGTTATACTTATGAAAATTTTTAATTCTCTAATCAGTTTATGCTAATAAATTTTTTTTATAATTATTAAAAAATTATTGAATCTATTCCAGTGCACAAATAACATGCAAATTAAGCATTTCTATACTCTTCATAAGTCAATTCATTTCAATAGTCCTCTAAAAGTTTCAAATTAATGACAGACGTTTTTAAGTAGTTTCTAAGAGCCGAGATTTCAGTTGAAATTGCTATGATTTGTTATGTTTTATAAATTTTTAGATATATAAATACAGAAAAATATGTGTGTTTCTGTACCCTGCTGCCAAAATATCGAAGGATATTTTGCTTTTATCTGATTTTCTTTACTTATTAACTATGTATACCACCACTTTGGGAGTATTCCTTTCTCCTTATGTAGTTGGGAATCCATGCTTTTTTACAATTTTCATACACGCGGCACTTTGAAAGTAATTGTCGAAACGCCCCCTCCCGTTTGAACACCTTCACTGCTTTGATTTTGTGTGGACATACTTTCTTGTTGCCCCGTCGTTGACGCACTTACGACATTTTCCATGTTTCGCGTTGTTATCAGCGTTGGAATATTATTAATGATTCTGGTTGTCGCATATACTAAGTTGTTGTTGCCGCTTACATCAACGTATGTTGGTTCCACATTATCGGAGCCTTTTATAGTCTTAGTGGAATCCATTAGCATAGCGCCAAATTCACACATAGTACCACTTCTGCTGCTGCGCACATTTATCAGAGTAGTTCGTTCACTATCATCATCCATACTCGAGCGCAACTGCGTTCGCTTGCGTTCCAGTGAACTTCCGTAGTCTTCTAGCCGATTAAATGGAAATGCTGGTACAAGAATATGTTGACCATCGTGCACGGTTTCGATATTGCTGCAACACTCCGCAATTGAGTTGCGCACTGATGGCGGTGCTGTGGCAACCGGCAACATACCTCTAACTGCTCCAACTGTCCCGACAATTTCTGTGAGTAGACCATTATTATCGGTGACACTATTGCCACTGCCGTTGGTTGTATTACCACTACCGACCTGCTTTTCCCTGTTGCGTCGCAATGAAGAACGCAATGGATATTGCCGTGGGACGTTTACGCCAATTAATCGTCGGGTGGATGGACGTCGCGCAGTTGTGAGGGGATATTGAATTGACTCGGCGCTGTTACTCAAACGGATGTTGCCAACTGTGCGATCGTTATAAGCGGTACAAATGAGAGTCGTCCCGTTTAGTATTAATTGTCAATTGGTTGGCGTGGAAAGGTTGTTGGATTACACACGATAATTGGGCATATTTTTTTGATTTTTTGTTGAAACGGTCATTGCACGGGATATTCGCAAAAATAGATAGAAATGGTAAGATAGAAGATATTAGGATATATTTCACAAATAGCATGGACACATTTCTTAAAACAATTATGAATGTTTAATTAAGTTTTTCGTTTTTACTATGCATGTATCAAAGGAAGTGTAAATTAGCTAATGTACAAGTGTGTATGAGTACAAAAAAACTAAATTAGCGGTATTAAATTTTTTGTCAATGTTTAGTTTTTGACTTAAAAGTGTGAGGTTGAAATTATTGAATCACAAAAACAAATTAATACAGTTATGCACATAATGGAAAAATTAGTGCTGCTCGTTATACTTACAGAAAATATATATAACAATTTTTTTTTTAAACATTTCAACAAAAGTTTAACAAAACAAATGTAAAATTAGTCAAGCGCCCTTAGACGATATATAAGATATATTAAGCATTTGCGCAGGCTTCAAAAGCTTATTGGATTCACTAATTAAATAACCAATTAAAAATAATACAAACATATAATAAAATCACGTGAAAGTCATAGTTTTTATTTTGAAAAAGGACACAAACAATTTATGATAATTCACATGTAAAAATAATTTACTAAAAATGAAATTAAAATAAAAACTACCTAAGTGAACTATGTATTTAATATTATTTATTTGAGACATATTATTTACAATGCTATGTTTATTACAAACAAATAATAAAAAATATTATTACTATTAAAACAGAAAAAGCTTTCACTTAAATTAAAAGGATTAATATTAAAAAAAAAATAAAAACATAATTCCAACAAATGTATGATACAATTTTGTACTCTTAAGGGTGTGAACAGCTGGTTAAGTTAACGCTCTTTCAGTTATTTGTTATAGAAATACAAATTATCAGGGAGCATTTTTCTCCTATACCACCAAATAGAAAAGGAAGTGTTATATTCTAAATATTTATGCTTAAATTTGTGAGTTCAAAAGATAGTAAGATTTTAAAACTCTCTACTTGGCAATTTATTTTGTGACAAAATTGTCTATTTGAGGCTATAAAAGTATTCGTAAACTGCATAGAAGGGCATAGAGATTTTATTACATCTGAATATGCTCATTTGATTAAATGTTAGCTAAATTATCTGATAAAAATAATGTATTGTGTATATAGTTATTTTTTAATTTCTAATTTCAGTGATTTTACATAGTTGAAATCAAAGAACATTTTTTTTATTTGCTGATTGTTATTATAAAATTTTTTGTAAGACCTAACGTAGTAATTTCTAATGATATTTAAAAAATGTTGCCTCAATTTATCGAAGTCAAAATTCTGAAGGGGGTACTTGGAAACCCTACTATAGTAGTATCTAGTATACCGTAACTTATAGCTTTAATCCTTGTAGCAATCGTTAGTTTTTCCGCAAAGGCAATAGATTAGGGCTAAATATATGAATCATATACTACATAAGAGTATCAAAAATTTTAAAATTTTAATAAGTTGAAAATGCTCTTTTTTATTTTGAGTGTAAGCGAAATGGCGATGAATTTACTCAGAAGAAATTTAGAAAATGCCTAACGTCTAAAATTTGTTATTTGCTGAATGGTTCTGTAAAATATGTATCTTAATATACAATTCTTTGACGAAGTGTTGCTACGACTGTCTTATGGTTATCAAGGGAAGTTTTTTACTATTTAAATTATAGTTACTTCGCATAAAAATTATATTAAATTCTTAAGGAGAATAATAACCAAATACAAAAATACGACATATAAATATTTTTCAAACAAACATAAATTAAACACATATACATATTTACATATGTGTACAAACTATATTCTAGTAATACAACCGACATTGTTGGTAATAACGACATAAATTGCATTACATTTAAGTGAAATATAAAAAATCGCTTTGTTTATGGAAAACAAGCGATAAAGGTAAGCATTTAATCACTTAATTTAGTATTAAAATAAAAAGTCCAGTACATTAAAAATGACTGTAACAAAATTGTTGCCGCTTTCAGTGCGTGTATTTCTGCCATTACCACTTTCACTGCCGTTTCCGCCGTCCGCCGTCGTCATCAACAAACTACTAGCATTTGTCGAGTTCATCGAGTGATATTGCGTTGATGTGGAAGACAAACGTTGCCGTCGTCTCAACCGTTGCTGACGACGTTGAACGCGTGGCGTACTCTGTCTGTAGCGAGACGTAGGTATAAAATCAACTTCTTCAGCAGCGGCAAGTGGTAAGCCGCTGGCATCATTTATCGCGCTTGTTGATGAAACAGTCGCTAAGGAGTTATCCAACAAACTAGCATTCAAGAATTCTGATGAATCCGAATATATTTCGCAAGACTCGGCACGATTAGTGAGTGTAGATGGCACTGTGACTGTACCAAAATCGGCTTGATTGTGGTCGCTCGGTAGCGAATATGTTAGATAATTATGATCGAGATCGCTGTTGACCTCAGCATCAGCAACATCAATTTTATAAAGATCGTGTGTGGAATTACAGCGTCTGGTAGAGAATATTTGCTTACGCGGACTATAAAACAGACGAGATGTGGGTATGGTCGGTTCGGTTACTATTTCCACATCTAAGTCTACATCACAGTAACGCACGGAATCGGTTGAATGGTAGTGACTGGGCAGCTTTGAACCACGCTTAGGTGCCTGATGTTGGCGTTGATGATTCGATGATTGTGAATGTCTATGCAAGTATGAATGCGAATCAATGTTTCTGGTTTGAAAACTAAAGTGTTGATGATTGCGTTGATGTGGTTCATAATGTGTTGACACTGGTTTTGTTGCTGAATGTGAATATTTAGTGTTAGACAATTTGAAAATATGTTGGCGATTACTTGCTAACAATGTTTGGTTAGTATTATTATTATCTATGTTATTGTTGTTACACATATCATTCTTTATATAGATAATTTTACTGTTATTGTTAGTATTGTAGTTGTAGTTGTGACTGATATTCATAGAAAGTTTGGTATAAGTAGAAATTGAATTTGTTTGTAAACTATAAGTAGTAGTTGTATAAGTAGAAGTGGTTGCAATAGACTTTGTAGTGAAATCAGATGCTTTAGAGATATTATTCGAACCATACAAATAATAATTATTAGAAGATTTATGTGAGGTAACATAGCTACCGATATTTTTTGCTGTCGTTTTCGGGTCCAAATACATGGTACGGCCGGAGCTGTTAGACGCAGCCGCATGCGTCGATGATGTTGGTTCCATTAAACGAAGTTTAGGTGATTGTGAGTATACGTTGGGCGTTTCAACTTGTAAATTCTGCTTACATTGATATATTGGTGGACCACATTCATAAGCATTGCAGCTATCATCCGTCTCCATATGCTCCGTTTGCATTACCGGTTGGGGACTGGCGTTCGTTTTTTGTTGCTGTTGTAGCCGTTTCTTATAATACAAATAGAGCGCATTGGCATTATGGCCACCACTATTGCTAACTATTAAATTGCGCACACTGTCATCCTCGTCGTCGGCAAATCTGCCACAATGTGCGCGCATGTCGCGTGTGCTGCCGCCTCCGAGATAGCCATGTGCTTGAAAGTGTGAGTGTTGCTGCTGCTGTAACTGTAGCTGCTGCTTTTGAACTGCAGCCAGACAACAATTGCTGCATGGGGTAGGCAAATTCAATGCCAGTTCACTATCTCTAGGACCCAAAAACCATTCTGACCGTGTGCGCATGCGTGCTGTTTGGCGCTCATGGACCTTCGTTTGTGATTTTTTTCCAAATAAATTTATGTACATATATCGAAGAAATAAGTTGTTTTGGTGGTGTTAAATATATAATAGACATAAGATATAATTTTTTTACAGTTGCAAATTCGTTGGTGTTCGTGAAGATTGTTGGTTGGTGAACGGTAAACATGTGTAGCACGACATACAAATAAAATATTTCGTTTATATAGAGGTGAGGCACAAGACGTTGTCAATGATGTGAAACAAAGTATTCCATTTCCAAGTCGTGGTTGTTCCAATTTGCATTATGATTCCAGTTATTGTTGTTGCAGTACGGATATAAAGGGTTTTTGTCGGGAGAAAAAAAGGGGAATTGGCAGAAAAAATTACGAGCTTAGTTTTTTGTAGTCGTATAATGTTTTTGTTCTATTGTTTTTTATGTTAATTTCATGTTTAAAATAAAAATGAATTTTCATTAACAAAAATGCAACTGCAGCAATGAACCCTTTCACGAAATAAGGCAGGCTTATAAACAGCGTAAAATGTGCATATACATATCTAAAATTATGTGAAAAAACCAGAATTGATGTGTAACACAAATAAATATTCCAAAAATTTGGAATAATAATCGATGTTTTACGTTAACAAAATGATGTGCGTACATGATTGTTAGCTGGTGCTATGTTTGTGTTATATAATATATATATATGTAAAAAAAAAGTATATATATATTGTTATAATATATATGTGTGTGCAAATGATAATAGAAAAGCATTTATAATCAATATTGACCTTATAATAAATTGTACGTAGGAAAGGCTTACGCCTCCATGAAATAAATAATTGAAGAACCATTAATGTAATTAAAAACTATATAATTGTAGTTACCCATAAAAAGTATAATAAGACTTACATATTTATTACATAACACGTTTACAACATTTAATATAGTGCACTGTAGTATGCTAAAAAGATGTAGTGTTGCAAAAGGTTTTCGTACACGAAGAACACAAACTGGATTTTGTAATTTCTTGTCAAAGATCCACATTTATTTTTGTTAAAAATATCAAATACTAATTTATTAGTTTGAATCTCATAATTTTTCTATTCTCTCGAAAAATATCTGGGTGAATAGATTTTATATAATATATATATATATATATACATATTTTAAATAATATATATTGTTTTTGTTCCTATCTATGGTATATACGAGTAAACAAAAGTTCACATCCTATTTCACTTAGAACTAAAAATTTTACACAAATAACACCCACAATACCAATAATAAAAAATTCAAAATCACAAAAGATAATTTACATCAAACATGCTGTACAAGGAAAAGAAAAAACACAAATTCGCATGGCCAGTATAAAATCGAGGTAAGTTTTACAAAGTTTAGTGGATCTATTAGATTTAACAAAGAATATTAAAAGTAGAAGACATCAAAAAACAAAAATACTCATAAAGCGAATTAAAAAAGATTTCTTATTGCATGGCATTTTTTTGTATATTTCTAAACTCATTGACAAGGAATTTACAAATGTCGAGAGTTATTTATTAATCCAATTACAATGTTACCAGCAAATAAATAAATATATTTTTTATTTATAATTTTAAAAATAAAAATATATGAACAAAATTAAAACTAAATGAAGAAGTAACACAAATCAAAATTAAATTAGTAAATTAATATATACATTTATGTATGTAAATATATTTGACAAATCGAGCACTTACTACTAGATGTTATAACTAGGAATACCAAACGTACAAAACTATGTTATGAAACCCATGTATTTATGTAGAAATAATGTTTTTTTGCAGCAGAGATTTCCAATATAGGTTTTAAGGTATGTAATAAAATTTCATATTAAAAGCATTTTATTTTATTCGTATTTTTTATAATTATTTGTACTTTTTAGTGGTACATTAAATTTTTTATTTTACAACATTGATACATCGGCTATATTTTGTTTACATTTCTGGCAAATAAATATAACATGTCGCATAAATATAAAGGCCTTGAGGTCATACTTCTTTCTATAATTTTGCTGTTAAGTGGTATAGCCAAATAGCAAGCAAAAATTAAATAAAAACACTATAGTTTTCAATCATACAAAATTTTAATAAATTGAATTTGCACAATTCATATTGAGAAATTCACAATTTTCACAAAAACAAAATTTATAGACGTATGTGTTTAAGAAGTTTATTGAAATTTATTTTAAATAATTTAATTATATACTAATACTACAATTAAAAGGCTAATATGAAAGTTATAATTGAGATTAATAATATTATATTATAAAAAAAAAAAACGTACATATATATATTAAGATACTTTAAGTATGTATTATTGTAGAAAGTATGCGATTTTTCGGGTTTATTAATGTGTAGAGTAAATATTGTTCAGAAAACAAACAAAAAATTCATTTAGTTTTCCCTAAACAAATTTGTACTCATTGGCGATAGATGAACGTTTAATGCATAGTTTACTACAAGTATAGTAATATAATATTTGAGAGTTTATAATTATTTGTTATGGACATGTATTTCTCGTTCCATCGCAATTAAAAGGGAGCGTGTATGAATGAATGAATGTAGTATTTTATGTAAGCTTTCAGACTTTGAGCTAAAAGATAAATAATTTTGATGCTGCATGTTGGCAAATAGCACGAATGCGCACTGAACAATTGGGATTCATTTTTAAACAACTATGAATCTATTGTTAATCGAAAATGGCTATTCGAGGTACCTAACATGTATTAAATAATAGGTAGTGTACTAAATAATATTTAATTCATAGAATTCTTGTGTACGTGTAAAGCTGTGTAGTGCTTTCGAGTAAAAAATTTGATTATAAAAGTAACTAAATTCGTTATCTAATAATACAAATGCAAGAGAATTTACACACACAAAGGAAAATCGAAATCGAAAATGGTAATAAATAAAAATATCAGCCAAACATGTATGAATTAACTTATTTGTTTGAATTAATTTATACCGAAATCCTTGAAGAAAGCAAGAATTCGTCCCTCACCTGTGGCAAATAAGAAAGACTCTTTGTACTCTCGGCATAGCGATTAACAGCGCGTAATTCTTCCATAGTCATACCGCTGCCATTCCCTACGCTACCAGCTCCTCCTCCAGAAGCCGAGGAACAAGAAGACGAATGACGTATACCGCGATTACAACGACTGCAAGTGCGTGTAGTTGCTTTAATGCCACCGCTAGTCATCTGTGTTGTCGTGGTGCTCTGCATTTTGTTGTTCTTCATTTTGTTTCTATTTTCGTTTGTCTCATTATTCATGGGCGTTTGCAAGACGCGATCGCCACCATCAAGACTTTTTGAGCCGGCGCGCAAACGTCGCTGATGTTGCATTCTAGTTTGAGTTAGTATTTTCTTTTTATTTTGACGATAGCGACGTCTTACAATATTCACTTCGTCATTGCCATCATCATCATTAGAATCCACAACATCGTCGTTGTCAATACTGACAGTGTAAGTAGTATTCAGAGCAGCGTTGTAATGCGCTGCATAGCGGTTATTGCCTGTGGTTTTTGCTACTCTATATATGCCACTTTGCACCGCCATACGTGGTGGAAAGTTGGGTTTCGGATTGTTTTCGAAACCTTCGTCGTTATTTATTTCGAGTTCAGCGGCAAAGTCTTCTACTTCGCCGTCATCGTTGGCATCTGCATCTTCGTCGCCGAAATTCTCTTCATCGACGTCAGCATCATTGTCGGTGTCGCGTTGCAAATCTTGTATGTTTCGCTTCGGTATGGGCGATGATGTCATCGCAAATAAACTTGGTCCTTCTAAAGAGACAGACAGGCGTGCACATGATTCAATAAACGAATGTTCTGGTGTTACGCCCAATGAAAGCACACTGTTGTCTAAAGCTGAGCTTGAGCTTGTTAGCAAGGCAGGCGTTGAGCGGGATTCTTCCTGAGCAACTATTTAGTTTTAGACGTTTTTGATTTTATTCAATGTCACAAAGCAGGCAGTGTCAATGTACATAAAACACGACACACAGGCAGAGTATAAGTGAGAGTGAAAGAAAAGAGAGATTTACAATTGTTTGGGTGGTTGATTAAATTATTCTTAACATTTTATTACAATTTCGAGACACTATTACTCAACTCATAAAAAAAAACTATATAAAACGGGAAAGCTATCTGCATCAGATATAGGTTTGAAATTAATGAAGAGAAATGGAGATAAAAATTGAAAATTCACAAAATATAATGGCAATTATGAAGTTAATGATGTTAATAAAGCAAGCTTGATTAGTATTTACAGTAAAATTAAATTATATAAATTGAAATGGAAAAATAGGTGAAACAATGAATACAGTACGAGTACAAGAGACAAATGTTAGAACGAGTTTAAGTTGACAAAGTGATTGAAGAAGAAAGACTTGTCACAATTTCGTCTTTTTAAAGTATTAACTACATGATATTAAGATGTTCGTTATTATTTTGATAAATAAGGTGTCATTTACACTGATGATATAAAAAGCAAGTAAGATACATCTCAAATTCATTAAATTTGCATAGCATATATATAATATTTGTGAAAAATATACTTACGCAAACCCCAACGCTCACACTGGCACTGTAACCATGTCTTTTCTGCCTCCAAGGAGTGTTGCACTATAGGGAAGAATTGTATATTTAATAGAAACACCATATAGGTATGTACGTATTTATACATGTATGTATTAAAAGCAGTATTTTTTTTAACTTACGTGCATACTTCTGCTGTGCCAATTTACCACGTGGTGGAGGTGGATATTGAAAACTACAAATCCATTCATCCTGTACTTTGAGTATGCGCCCAGTAACGCGCGCATAGTATTCGTAATTTTCGCGTCCAAATAAATCATGTGTAGCAAATTTATCGATTATTTGCTTCATAATTTTTGTGGCCACCTAAAACAATCAAATGTTAATCAACAGAAATAGAACATTCAGAATATATGCACGTAAATCGTAAAATAAAGACAGTACAAACGGCCTTGTAAAAATGTATCGTATGAAACAAAAAATACATATGTGAACGTAAAACATTAATAATGAAGATTGCATTTAAATATTTTTATAGTGTACCCTAATCCTAAGTTCAAAGTTTTCCAAATTTGTTTATAATTTTAGCAGCAAAGTGCATTTAGAAAACGGTGTCATTACTACTAATGCTAACTAAAATATAATTATATTAACGTTACGATGTTCAATTCAAAGTATCAGATCGCATAAAGTTTTATATTATAATTAGACCAAATTTTGCATTTATATATTTTTTCGTATTTCTAATGTAGTTTACAATACGTAAGCAGCTTTCAACTCAATCAAATCAAAAGACGTAAGCACGTCTTATTATAAACGTCAATTAATTAAGACTCCATTTATATAAAGATAATATATTAATATATAATATATGCATACCTTAAATTTAAGGACATCCTCCATACGTGCTGTTTTCCCATCACTAACGCAGGATTGAAAGAAACTTGGGGCCACTGAAACTCCCAGGGCTTCGCTGGTCATGCCTGTACTGGCCTGTGTTGCATTGCTGGCAATAACACGGAATGTACCAAAGAGTAAAACTAGTAAACGTTGAGTGTATTTCGGCAGTGATGTAAATAGTCTATAATAATAAAGAAATGTAAAAATTTAATAAAATTATTTTTGCAATATTAAACTAGATGGATAATCAACATTAAATATTTATTTTATGAAATGGTTCTGAAAAAAGGTGTAATGTATTCAAATCGAATGTATTTAGACAGATTTAACAAACAGATAGCATTTTAATTGATAACCAAACTTTAAGAATCCATTTTTCTTTCCATGAGTGAGTTAAGTCTTATTTGAATAGCAGATATCTTACATATTGTTACTTTTCAGAATACCTCTTCACAATTTTTTGCGGCAGCTTAAGATATTAAAACTGCAGTCGGTCTACGCTTTGCTCACTAACAGTATCCAGTTTTAAAGTTTCTTGAAAGCTAAATTTTGAGCTTAATAAATAATATTTCTAAAATTGGTTCTGCTTTCGCCGGTGTAACAGTTTGTATTCTTACATATCAGGTGCTTTTTTTTCGAGGTATAGAACTTTAAGTTGGCATTACTGTTCAAGATGGCAACCGATTTAACAGGTGTCAAGTTATTTATTCTGAGTTTGGTTTGGCAATTCATCATGAATAGACTCACGCCTGAACAACGCTTGCAAATAGTGCAATTTTATTTCGAATGATGCGATGAAGCGCACTTCTGGTTGAATGGCTACGTCAACAAACAAAACTGCCGCATTTGGAGTGAAGCTAATCCTTAAGTGTATGTTGAAACACCGTTACATCCAAAAAAAACTGACTGTTTGGTGCGCTTTATGGGCTGGTGGAATCATTGGTCGGTACTTCTTCAAAAACGATGATGGCCAGAACGTTACAGTCAATGGTGATCGGTATAGAGCTATGATTACTAACTTTTTCATTCCTGAATTGAACAACCATGATGTCCAGGAGCTGTGGTTCCAACAAGACGGCGCAACATGTCACACAGTTCGTGCCACAATTGAATTGGCCCTTAAGATCTTGTGATTTAACACCGCTAGACTACTTTCTGTGGGGTTATATGTAAAGTCATTGGTCTATGCGCATAAGCCACAAACGCTTAAACATTTGGAAGACAACATTCGCCATGTTATTGCCGATATACGGCCACAAATGTTGGAAAAAGTCATCGAAAATTGGGCGTCCAGATTGTACTACATCCGAGCCAGCCGTGGCGGTCATATGCTAGAAATCATATATAAAATGTAATGCCACAAGATTATCTTTCGGAAAAATAAAAATCATGTCAATCGAATAATCCATCGTTGTTTTATTGCAATTTAAAGTTCCATACCTCTAAAAAAAACACCTGTTATAACTTCCTTTTAATAATTTAATACATGCTTATTTAACCCCTAATTGGATTAAGCTGACTTGTTCGAAATTCACTATAATTGTAAATAAACACTTAGAAACTTCAGTAGGTTGATAGTCATCTCCATCTCTTTTTATCTAGGCCATGTTATCACTAATGTAAAATACAAACGATTCATTTTGTATGTACATAAACCTTCAGAATAAACTGCTATGAAACTAACATACTAATACATTCGGTATGTATATGACTTGATATTCACCCAGTGATTCATAAATCATTTTAGTCAAGAAATGTAAAGAAAGCAATGAAGACATCAATTTTTATGATTTTTCATACTGCAACAAAACAAGATATCACGAAAAAGAGACAGCTTTTAAAAATGAAAAACGACAGCTTGTTTAATGGCTTTATTGTTCGGTGTTAATTCGATAGCAGACGTATTGGTTGTATAACATATTAAATGACATGAAAATGAAGCAAAAGATCACTGGCTCTTTTACAACCAATAGGAACTGAAAAAAATTAAATGTATTAAAGTAAAAGACCAACAACAAATGCCCCAAATATAATTACATACATATAACATACTAATAACACAATAACTTACTGCGTAATGAAAGTCCAAAAAATAAAAAAAAAAACAAATAAGGAAGGGCTAAGTTCGGATGTAACCCAACATTTTATACTCTCGCAAAGTCAAATGGTATACTCGTTTGCGATTTTTTTGTGGATTGACTGATATTTTCGGTAGAAGGTCAACTATAGGCACTGGGGTCCACATATTTAGTACTTAGGGGCTTGAACAGTTTTGGTTCGATTTAGACAAATTTTGGTCACAAGGTGGCATACTTTAAACGTATTATTCACGCAAAGTTTTACCCCGATATAATCATTGTTGCTTGATATGCATAGTGGAAAGTGAAAGAATCAGATGGAATTGAAAATGGTTTTATATGGGAAATAGGCGTGGTTGTAGTCCGATTTCGCCCATTTTCGCACTATAACATAGAAATATGAAAAGAACGTTATGCACCGAATTTGGTTGAAATCGGTTGAGCAGATCTCAAGATATGGGTTTTCACTTAAAAGTGGGCGGTGCCACGCCCACTGACTAATTTTGAACGCGGTTCCTATAAAGTCATTTCATACCATCCCAGAGATAAAATTTAATGTCTCTGGCGTGTTTAGTGCTTGGTTTATCGCGCTTTTAGTATTATTTAACAGTACCGTTATATGGGGAGTGGGCGGAGTTGCCACCCGATTTCAACTATTTTCACACCGTCAATAGAGGTGCTAAAAACATTTGCTTCCAGTGAATTTTGTTATTATAGCTTTAGCGGTTTAGGAGATATGCACATTAAACCAATTAGGGGCGGATCACACCCACTTAAAAAAAAAATTTTAACTGCAGATGCCCCTCCCTAATGTGATGCTATGTACCAAATAAGAGTCTTGTATCATGTTGTGGAGCTTAGTTATGGCAATTTATTTGTTTTTGATTAATGGCGTTTTGTGGGCGTGGCAGTGGTCCGATTACGCCCATCGGACGGACGGACGAACGGACAGACAGTCACCCGGATTTCAACTCGTCTCTTCATCCTGATCATTTATATATACATAACCCTATATCTAACTCGATTAGTTTTAGGTGATACAAACAACCGTTAGGTGAACAAAACTATTATACTCTGTAGCAACAGGTTGCGAGAGTATAACAAAAGTGGAAACCAGTCGTATTTATTCACAAATATGCATGTATGTATGTGGGTATATTATTAAGAAATGATTATAAATGTGAATACATAAAAAGCGTTAGAGAGGAAAACGGTAAATACTAAATTTGTAAAATCAAATCGATTTAACAAAACAAGTTAAATAGAGGTTGATTAAAATGAAAGATGAATCTAAAAAGGTTTACTACGAAAATAAGCAATAATTTATACAAGATCTATTAGCAGTTGAATACTAAACACAAATACCTGGTCAAAACAAAAAAATGTATATGTCGATATTGCCGAAAAAGGTGAAAAGTGATCCTCAAATAATAAAAAAGCAATGTTGTAGGCAACAAGACAACCGAAACAACAAAAAGATAACAGTATTTATGAATGAAAATGTGAGTCACCCAAAGACCGTAAATACGTTCAAGTAAATAGTACAGACTTTGTGTGCTGAAAGATACATTTGCGCTTAATATTTGTTACACTTGTTTCTGATAATCAATCCCAAGTGGGAAAAGGCAGAAAACAAAATTAATATGAAAATAAATGTGATTCAAACTATAAATAAAATAAATAAAGCGAAGCAAGTTATTTTTAAAGATTAAAGCCTTGGAAATGTTCTCACTTGTTGGAGAACTTTATTATAAACAAGGGAGCATAAGTTCGGGTATAACCAAACATTTTATATACTCATATTGGCAAATTTTACATTAAAAAAAATGGCGTAAGAATTCAACAGTCCTTTTTCGACGAAAATATGAATGGATTACAATTGTATTTGCTAGCTTACTAACTTATACATATGTATTATAGCTCATAGACTGACTTAGTTTCATTACTACATTTTGCTTTTTATAAATACTAGATATTTTTATTAAAATCAACTTGAAATGGGACAAATGTAATAAATGCTCTACCAAAGAGGCTAAAGTTAGCATATTGGTTATATTAGGAACATGTCAACCAGGGGATCGGAAATCATTATATATGGATATGAGAACGAGAACAGATCTAATGAAACACCTATCAAGTTTGAACCTCAAGCTGATAAAAAAAAAATTTTCGGTTAATTTTGTTGACTATAATAAACAAAACTTGCGATCCTGGAAAAACAAACATCGTTAATCTACATGAGAATACTCATAAAAGTACGTAGTTAAATATGAAAATATTTATTCCTTCAAAAATATTAGGCGTTTGGGCAGAAAAATTAAATTTTTAGTCAATAATTTCGTAATAAACTGACCATAAAAATGTTTTGAATCAATCGAAATTTTCCTACGTAAAAGAAAAAAAAAAGAAAAAACGATTTTTTGAAAATTCTACAGTGGCCATACCCCTTAAACTAATTTGATTTAAATTCAGCGCTAATTCACATTATATTTAAGAAAATGTATCACATATTGATATAAAGAGTTTAGAGTTAGGTGGAAAGTCCGAAATCAGTAAATCGAGTATATTCTGGACTGATTGCCTTACCGTTTGGCGTTACTCAAGTATACTCGAGAACATATTTCCACTTATTTTTTTTGAAGATAATTCATACACTGGCCGAGATATTAGGTATAAAATCTCCTAAAATAAAGAAAATCATTATATGTAGTATATAGGAGCTAGGGTAATTCGTGGACCAATTTCACACATTTTCGGTGTTCCAGTATATGAATATTCAATTAATTTCTCTAAGTTTGAAATTTGTATATATGTAGGTAATATAAGGCTGGGGTAGTATTGACCCGATTTTATCGATTTTTGGCATCAAGGTATATTATTACCAGGAAAATATTATATCTGACTTTTATTAAGATAGCTCACATACTTTCACTGCTTAGGCACTATTTGCGAAGAGTTTTATCCCGATATATTCGTTGGTGCTTTAATTGTATACTGTAAAGTGAAAGAATCAGGAGGTATTTAAAATTGTGTTTTGTCAGAGTAAAATTGATTGAGTAGTTCTTAAGACATGAGATTTCAATTAAATGTGGAGTTGCAACGC